CGCCCGCTTACCAACAGCTAGCCGTGTGTACCTCGTGGTCAGTCCTTAATCGTACTAAAGCCCAACAAAGCCTCTCTTCGTGCTGTCACCGCCGTAACACGGCCTAACAGAGCGTGCCTGCGTACGCGTTCTTGGTCATGAGACGGGTCCATAGCGAGCATCAGCATTCTCACAGGGCAATAATATCAGTAAGATGTTATCGGTTGGCAAAATAACCCGATCATGTAATCCACAACCTCATGCTTTGTATAAGAATGCCTCACTGTGAGCTCGAGAATCATCTTCTCTCCAACCAATTCTTCTCCTAAATCCACAAATTATCCCTCTCCTCGACGCCAAAACTTCCCACTATCTTCAACATGCAGCTCTCAACTACCTTCCTTGCCCTCGCTTCTGTATTCGTCGCATCCAGCGCCGCACAGGGTACCCTCTCATTCACGATCTCGACGTGCGCCGCCTGCAGCACCGCATCCGGATGTCTGATTGAGGGCTCAACCAACCTCCCCGCCAACAGGTGCATCAGCATCTACGACGGCAACAAGAGTCTCATCATTACCGAAGCTGCTAACCCCAACTGCAAGAGTAAGTTCCTATACCAGGAATACGACTTCGCTAATCTTTGCCGATAGTCAATCTGCACACATCTTTCGACTGCACAGATGAAGCCCCAGAGGTGTTCGGCGAAGTCGGTGTTTGTGAGGCGTATGGCCCTAAGAACTCGTACAAGATCACCTGCTAGACGATCATGAGGAGTCGATAGGGTTGAACATGGCGGGTGACATCGGTAGATGGTAGCCGGCAACGGCAGTGGTGGATATCAAATCACAGTCTTTACCGCTAGAACCTTTGCTTCTCAGACAGAATAACGCTGCTTCTTGTTAGTTCGACATGTAACAAGAGTGTGCCGGACTCATTTAAACTATACTATACACGCTCTGTCGACCTTGTTCAAATCCCCAGTGATGATGAAGAGTTGAGAAAATGTGATTATAATGCTACCTTGGGCATATAAGGCCCGCCATCCGCTCACTGGCGAGGTAACTATCGAACAGTAAAACCAAGCAGTGATAAAATCGTATGAAATGATCAGAGATTATGTATCTCAATAAGAGACTGCAGATATCTCCTCATGGGAATTTGGTCGCGCAGAAAATTACCTGCCAGCTTCCAAGCCGTCCATCTATGTACCCCCGCCAACCTCCACCAGAATCTTGACCTGGTTGTCCTTGTCGTTGATAAGGCTCTTAAAACCCTTCTCTTCGACCTCGGTAAGAGCAATTCTCTGGGTGATCATCTCTTTCGGGTCCATGTCTCCCCTGCTCAGCGCATCAATCACTTCCTGGAAGTCGCCAATCTCATAAGTCGCAATGCCCATGTAGGTCCTCTCCTTAAAGTTGAAGTCGTTGGTGAAAATGGTGCAAGGCTTTTCCCAAATGGCAATGTTGACGATGCAGCCTCGAGCGCGGGTGGCATGTACGGCCTGGTTGAGAGCAGCCTGGACGCCGGCGCAGTCGTAGACTACATGTACACCCTTACCTCCGGTGAGTTCGCGACAGCGCTTGGCAAGGTCTTCCTTGGTGGGGTCGATGATGTAGTGCGCTCCGAACTTCCTCGCAAACTCCTGTCTCTTTCTGCTCACTTCTGAGACGATGATCCGATCGCAGCCTTTCGCCTTCAGGGCTAGGATTGTTGATATACCGATGGGCCCACCTCCCAAAACCAATGCGACGTCGTCTTTCTTGAAAGGACTGATCTTGACTGCGTGCCAACCGACAGCGAGGGGCTCGACGAGCGCACCAATCTCGAGTGGAACATTGTCAGGGAGATGATATAGGGTAGAGGTTGGGACGACGATGTGATCCGCAAGACCACCGCCCCAACCAGACAGGCCGATGAAGCCGTTGGACCAGCAGCAATTTTGCAGACCTTCCTCGCAGGCGCCGCAGGTGTCATCGTAGATGATGGGCTGAATGACAACTCTGTCACCGGCTTTGTAGTCAGTAACACCCTCGCCAACTTCCTCTACTGTGCCACTGAATTCATGGCCGAAGGTTAGTGGAACCGTTTCGCCGGTGATTGGGTGGGGCGTGGTAGGGCAGAGATTCGCGCCACCTAGGTGCTCAGCTATGGACCGCGTGTTCGTCATTCAAGTACATACCCAAATATTCGTGGAGGTATAAAGCAACGTCAGTCTCGCTGTCTCACTTTCTGTAATTGGGTCCTTACCTGATCCGCAAATTCCCACCCATGCCGGTTTCACTTTGACTTGCCCTGCTTTGACTTGGGGTATCGGAATCCTCTCGTATCGCAGGTCATGTTGCCCATGGAACCGCAGCGCGTTCATCGAGTTGTCATCTGCCTCGGCGGCCATTATGATCGAATTGGTTTCACACTATTACAAGCGTATATGAGAGTGACTTGAAAGATGGCGGAGGACAAGAGAAGGACAGAAGTACTTGGTCAAGGTGGCGCAGGTAGTTTGGCTCCTTCCATGGCCGACAAACAGACGTCGCGCTCATTTCCCCGGACTCGGTCAGTCCGTTGGCTTCGGTCTGTTCCTACTGGCAAGCGCATGTGTGCACCTGCTGCCCAAGATCACGGAATGCCCAAAAGGGTAAGCCTCCGGTTCATCACCCCGCATTCACGATGCGGGGTACCAGGTGGCATGGCAAATGGCCGGAAGCTTGATAACGCGAACCGATTTGCAGTGGAGGAACCAAGTTCTGGACGAGCTCATCCATATCAGCTCGGCTCATGTACATGCCGTTGTGGGAGTACCTAGGGGTATAAGAGCCGCGTGCCACTGAGGACTAGCTTGGTGCACCCACGTACAGAATCCTGGACTCGCAGCCTGTCCTCCTGGATGCGCAATCATTGGTCGACGCTACATGAACCGACAAAAGAAAAACAAATTCCAATTATGCCTACCGATGAGAGACGAAGGGCATAGGGGGGCGAGGCCCGGGTTATGACGTCGGCAACTAAAGCATGACGCTCGGCACTCGGAACAGCTACGTCGTCGTACTTTCCCCGTTTGGATCGAGCTCGGAAAATCTGTCATCGCCTTCGCTGAATTCGCCGGCGCTCGAATGCGACATTCTTACAAACGATATCTGGACTTGTAACGAAGACGACAGGAGTTATACAAGCGCATTGACGAACCCCCTGTAACTCGGTACGGTCGGAACGACCAGACGCGTATAGCGTGGATTAGCCAGCGCGACAGGGCATGGTTTGCGATCTAGCCCTCGAGACCGTTGGCAGAACTCCGATGTGACGGATAAAGTCGCGATCATTGACGCGTCAGTGACGGTCAAGAAAAAGGTACAATGCGCGCCATAGCGACAACGCGCTCGTGGCTGTAGGCCTGCCCAATCAGGGAGCAGCAGGAGCCTCAACGGCGGGTACCCTCTCGTTCTCGTCCACTGTTATGACCTCACTGGACGAGACGCCATTGTGACCGTGGGCCGACTCTAACAGCTGGCGGGGGATTGACCGATGCTTGAAATACGTGTGCATGCCCCTCAACACCTGCCCCTCCATCATCTCTCCCACCTCCCCAACAATATTTCCCATACTCCAATTCAAACTCAAACGCAACAATGCCTTACCCAGAGACTACCGACGCCTTCGCGGTAACCGACATCAAGAACTGGAGCACATTCAAGCGCCAGGAGGTCAGTCAATAAGCCAATCTTCCAATTGATAGCTGTACTAACATTTCCCCAGCTTCCCCTCAAGAAGTTTGAGGAGTACGACGTCGACATTGCCATTGACGCTTGCGGTGTCTGCGCTTCAGATGTCCACACCATCACTGGAGGATGGGGCGAGGAACTCCCTCTACCCCTCTGCGTAGGACACGAGGTTATCGGCAAGGTCGTCAAGGTCGGCGACAAGGTCACCAGGGTCAAGGTTGGAGACCGCGCCGGTATTGGTGCTCAGATTGGCGCCGACCTTACCTGCGACCAATGCAAGAACGACCAGGAGAACTACTGCCCCAACCAAGTCGACACATACGGTGCTAAGCACAACGACGGCACCGTCGCACAGGGTGGATACTCCAGCCATATCCGTGGCCATGAGTACTTCGTGTTCAAGATCCCAGACAACCTTGACACTGCCCTCGCAGCGCCCATGCTGTGCGCTGGCCTCACCACATACTCGCCCTTGAAGAGGTTAGGAGCTGGCCCCGGCAAGAAGGTCGGTATCATCGGACTTGGAGGACTTGGTCACTTCGGTGTCCTTTGGTCCGTAGCTATGGGCGCCGACACCTATGTCATCTCGCACTCTCCCAACAAGAAGGAGGACGCGATGAAGATGGGTGCTAAGGACTTCATTGTCACCAAGGACAAGGGCTGGGCTGAGCCATGGAAGTTCCAGTTCGACTTCGTCATCAACACCGCTGATGCGACTGACAAGTTCGATCTCTCGGAATATTTCTCCATCCTCAAGGTCAACGGTACCTTCCACATGGTCGGCTTCCCTGACAACCCGCTCCCTGCCATGCCCGCCCAGATCTTCGCACCCAACGGCTGCTACATGGGCGCGTCGCACATCGGAAACAGGCCCGAGATGGAGGAGATGTTCCAGCTTGCATCCAAGCAGAACATCAAGAGTTGGGTACAGGAGATCCAGCTTAGCGAAGAGGGCATCAAGGAGGCAGTCGAACGCGTGTACAAGAACGACAACGTCAAGTACAGGCTCACCCTTACTGGCTTCGACAAGGTCTTCGGCAAGAGGGCTTAGATGGCTGCAAGAGCAGTGTGGTTGCCTTCTAGTACATAATAGATATCTATGAATAATGATGAATTTTGACGAAACTATTGCGCACTTGGTGTCGTCATTCCCGCCCATCGCGCGCGCTCGCCCCACCAGATCTCAGCGCGTCGCGTAGTTTTCGCCGGCGGGGATTATCCTGCCCCAACACCACAAATACACAACCCCCACCTACTCCACGGTGCTCCTTCAATTCCCACCTAAGCCCCGATCAACTCTCCGCGATGCCGTCGGTACCGATCCATCTCCCTTGCTCCTCCGCAACATCCTCTCGCGCCGAGAACCCCCTTCCGCAGCTCCTCCACACGCCCTCGGGCCTGGCCCTCATCGAAATCCAGGGCACAATCCACTTCCCCCCGCCTGCAGCCTCCGTGGCCTCCACACAAGTCGGCAAACTCGTCTTCCCACACTACAATCCCGCCATCAACGACCCGAGCGACACGAAATGGATGAAGCGCGTCTACATGTACGTCGGCAAAGGCCAGCGCATGACGGGCGAATGCAAGAAGCTGCCCACACCGCTTGGTGTCATCCGCAGGAGGGAGAAGATAAACGTCGAGGATGTGGAGATGAGTGGGCTTGGGGACGAGGATGGTGCGAAAGATGAGGAGCTGGAGATTGTGGAGGTGGTGAAGTACAAGATTGTGTTTTCGGCGCGCCCGGAGCCTATCAGTGGCGTCGCTGAGGTGGACTGAGGAGAGGGAGGATGATGCAGATGCTTTCGTACAGGTCTAAACGCCGGGATGGCCACTCGTGGTACACGCATAGCCTTCGAGCGATCGCGCAACGAACAAGAGCAAGCCTACGCACACGCGACGAGCCTCACATCATACGCGCGAGCCGGTGACTGGATGGAGTGCCCGTGTCGCACTGTCGCGAAACAATACGATATCATACTGCCACACTTCGCGCCTAGACTGTGGGAGGGCGACCAGACCGACTGTTCAGACTTCGAGAAGGACTTCCGAGCAAGCCTTTGTTGTACGCGATATGAGCTGGTACCCGGATTTACAGGCTCGGTCGGCAATCCCTGCATGGGCTGCAGTCACAAGGATCGGGCGTTAGCCACTTGGACACCAGTATATTGATTAAGCAATTTGGCGTCGCACAAGCATATTGCAGTTCAGCCTCGCTCCCGGGTTTTGGTGCTCGCTTGTCGCCCTAGGGTACTTTAACCACTTTACGCGGCGACCACGGTCCGAATCATATCCAGCACGAGCACTATATCTGGCATCATGTGGTAGCGTTCTGGAATGAAGATGGAAGATATATGGCAGCAGGATTGTACTTCAAAATGGTCTATCCTCGAGAAGACAAACAGTTAGCTATCCATCTGAAGCAGTTGCCATACCTTGCCTCATCATGCGTTGCTCGATCACGACTCTGCTAGCCCTGCTAGCTAGCACTACTCATGCAGCTGTAGGAGATTGGCAGCAATGTATGCTCATCACAAAGTAGTTAGCGTACATTTGCTAACTGAAGACCAGGTGGTGGTACGAACTGGTCTGGAGAGACAGCATGCAACTCAGGTGCTGGCTGCGTCAAGATCAAGTGAGAGACTGAATCGCATCATTGCCTCGTGCATCAAAGCTAACTTCTCAGTGACTACTACTCTCAATGCCAACCTGGTGCTGCACCCGCACCTGCGCCAACACCCGAACCCTCCACCATGTCCACTATGCCAGTACCAACATCCACAACAGTCTCACCAAGTGCACCAACCACCACCAGCACCCCCGCCGGCACCGGCCCAGGCAAGACACTCCAAAGCGGCTACTACTGGATCCGCGGAGTCGCAGCCCCCAACTTCCACAAATACTTCCAAACGAACCCTCTCTACTCGACCGGCCCCGCCCTCCTCGGCGACTACACAACAGCAGGCCAGTTCCAGGTCGTCAGCGGCCAGCTAGTTCAACTCGTTTCCGCACCCGGTGAACCTGTCAAGCTTCTTTACGCCGTAGTGTCTGAGGAGCGCTCGATCAACGGCATGTCGCTTGCTGTCAGCTTCTCGGAGAGCAAGAACACGTATGGTACGTTTGCGTGGGGCGGCGATGATCTTCAGTGGAGTGTTGCGGGCGTTAATCGGCCGAATAAGAGTGCGTGGTATGTGTGCACTGGGCAGAAGTTGTATATCAATTTGGGGAATTACTTGTATCAGACGCCGAGTGGGTGCGCTGATCAGACTGTGCATTATTACAACGATAAGACGGCGAACAACTAGGGCATGCATGCATAGGGTTGAAGAGACTTGGACAGCAGAGCGGAGAAGATTTGAGGCGAGATAGATCAATTGAGTTCAGTAAATTACTGATCCAGACATGAAGATCATGACTCATAAGAGCTCATGGCTAACTCAGATGAATCTCCATGTCCCATGTGGTACCATCTTCACGATGTCCCGTACCTATAGATTCCAATGCAGTGCTTTTTTTCTCTGCCGGAGCCTTTTCTTCCTCCGGTCTTCTCCGTCATCTGCTCGACCTAGCAGAGGTAGCCAACGACGTCGCCGACAGTAGCGCAGTTAGCCATGAGGGGGTAATCGCACTGGCTACCATTGTTACCAGCCTCGCAGCGGAAGAGCGGGCAGGTGGAGTCGTGGGGCCCACCGATCTGGCGGACGACGTCGGTGAAAGGGTTTCCGTTCATGCAAGAAAGTTGGTACCTGCAGAGGTGTTAGCATCGGATTTAGGAAGGCTTGAGGTCGGTACAAAGAAGCAGTAAAGGTGTGGGAAAGACAGATCTTCGTGCGAGGGGAGAGAGGAGAAAGACCGACTTACCAGATCTTGTGATCTTCCTTAGCCCAAGTCATCTGGTACTGATAGACCGTCTGCCAGTCCGCTGGCTTGCGGGCGACCTTGACTATTCCCATGAATTAGCGATACTTCTCATCGAGATGTCCCTCACCTCCGCGCTTTTCACTTACCAGAGTGTCCACAGCTATCCTCAAGAATAGGCACAGTCGTGATGAACTTCTGACCGGCGCTGACCTTGACTTCCTCTGTGTCCTTGGCGCTCATCGGACCGCAGTTCTCGCCCTGGCCCATGCGCGACCCGGGTTCAGCGGCGACGCCCTGGCGGACCCAGACATCGAAGCCGCAGTTGTTGTTGAGGACCAGGTGGATGGAAGAAGCGCTGTCAGGGAAGTTGGGAATGACGGTCGCGTTGGTGAGGGAAAGAACCGACACGAGGGTCAGGAAAAGAACGGTGAGGATGTACATGATGGTGAGCTCTTGGGGGTTGACGAGAAGCTGTATGAGTTTGTTTTGCTTGACGCTGGATGGGGTTGGAGAGAGAAAGATTCTTTTGGGTGGAGGGGCGGTTTTACTCGCAAGATTGCTTCGAAATGAGAGGTGAAGGTGAGGAAGGAGCGGAGGGGCGCTATTTCCCGAAAGATGCAGTCCAAGTTTTGCGAGGTGAAGGTGAGGAAGGTGGGTGACCTAATCAGGACCTGACCGTAGTCTGGGTCAAAGACGAACTCTTATCATTATGGGTAGTAGAAAGGGCATCTCATTTTCCTCATGCTATGTCTTTATCTCTTTAGCCGCGCATTTTAAGCAGCACCGGTTGAGATGCGGAGATTATGCAAAGCTCAAAACCAAAGACGTGAGCGACTGAGTGTTTGGAATCAGATCAAGACATGCAGTGTCCCATGGGCGGTCTAGATACATCAGCGGTCAAACTATCAGCCAGGGAACTCATGTCGATGAGTTCAGGTGGTGCAAGCACGCTGGCATCGATAAGGCATCTATAACTAATGGCGGAGGCATGAGACGCATGATCTATGTGTTGTTTTTGTTCAAGCCGAATAAAATGAGCGTATGAGACTGCCGTCCCAAGAGATCAAATAGGGATTACAATCCAGTGGGTTGAGTAATGACAGACCATGCACCTTTGTCGTTCGCGAGTCACTTCGGTGATGGGGCAGGACGCGCGTGGGGTGTTTTTTACTATAAGGTTAACTTCATGTGCTTCGTACAGCCCATGCGTGACAAGCTTTTCTACCACGAAAAATGTAGCAATGGACTCAATGATCACTGTGAATGCAGGAAAAAGAGGATGCGCATGGTGATAGGTTATTGATAATTAATAGATGAACACCGAAGTGTCTCCGCAGCATATCTATCTAGCTCATGTTGCGCATTTGCCAAATGCCACACAAAAGCCCTCTGATATCGAAGTCTATATAGTTCGCGAACACTCAACAAGCATCCTCGACTCCAAGTCAACAACGATCGTCACACCCGCCAACCTACTCCAGCCTACCACAAAGCACTCCGACAACGCTACCGATAGTAGCGCAGACAGGCTGGATCGGCCAGTCGCATCCATGGACCGGGTCTTTACCGTACTGGCCAGGCGCGCAGTGAACGAAAGGACATGTGGGGCCGAAGCCAGCGAGGTAGCGCTCAACATCCTGGAATGGCGCACCGTCCTCGGCAGAGAGGTTATACCACATACGGCCGTCATGGGGGTCCAGGGAGTACTCGATCTGGTAGACGTTGCGATCCTCGGGATGGTAGGCGACCTTGACTGGGTGTGTATTAGCAGGAGTAATTGTAGGTAATGAGGAAGATTAGGAGATGAAATAGGAAATACGTACTGTTGTGACCACACTGGTTCAGCTGACACGGGAAGGGCGCCTTGTACCTATGGCCTGGTAGCACTTCCACCATCTGGGTCTCTCCAGCATGGTCGCAGGGCACCCCAAAGGAGTTGTTGGCAGCGATAGATAGACGAGCCCAGACTGAGAAGGGACAGTGGTTCCGAAGTTCACCTCGAATCTGAGGAATGTCTGGGTCACCCATGCCGATCCAACTAGGCACGGATATAGACGCCATCGAGGAGCCGGGCTCGATCAGTGAGGACATGAAGTGCTCAGGGGAGAAAACATGGGTCCAGTCCTTGGACATGTCTTGGGTCTTGAAATCAGTCGGAGCGGCGTTGGTAAACACAGTAAGGAAGCTGAGTGCAACTGTCCACGATTAGTCGAGCTTGAAGACTTCATGGGGCAACTTACCAGCGAAGTAACTGGAGGAATGCATCGTGTCGATGATAGGTAGATCGAAGAGGATCTAGGAGATCTGATATGTGAGAAAGGGAGATAAGATCGAGTACTGTATATAGGAATAGCTTTCGGGAGAAATCACTGGTCAGGGAAGCCGGAGCTGGTGTAGAAGAGAAGGAACGAAGAAGTTCGCAGCTTATATGCGCCATTGAGTGCACGCTACTGGCACTGTTACAGCGCGCTCTTACCGTCATAGCGACCAAAGACCCAGGTGACTCTTGCGATAATCGCACGTGTGAAGCAGGAGGCGGTGTTAGCTGGCGGAATGACGAAAAGACGCCAAGGAACCGAGAGCGTTCGTCGCGGAAACGAGTGAGCAGGAAACGAAAGGCGATAAAGGCCATTTCAAGTTAGGTAAAGAGCACGTTCTTTGATCACGGGTGCCAAGTGGTCTCGAATATTGGGTGTTCGTTTGATCTTACCCACAAGCGGCGTGTTCTGTGAGCAAGTTACCAGCCCCGTGGCAATACCGCGCCTTGATGTGATCATGAAGCCTCGAAGGTCAGACCGCTGATGACGCGCTTGAGGGGATCGTTTACCTGCACATAAAATCGCGCCACGAGGAAGTCATCGATGGAGTTGGTGACGGGACTGCGCCCAGGCCCAGGCAGGCTCTATCACAACATCGTCTTCGCGGCATTCCATCCCGCAGCCCAATGCCAAAGCCTCGCATCTACTGTCTTGCCCTCTTGATCGTACTTGACCAAGCGGTCGTACAGCTCGTCGATTGGCACCACGACCCTCTCGATGAACTCGCCATCATCCAGCGCCTGCTCGGGCTCCGCGTCGCCTTCCTTCAAGTTGACTTCAACCATGGCCAATTGCATATTCGCGGTGCTTAGACCAGGATCGGAGACGATAGTCGGGCTGATGAAAGCTAGCTTACCCTTGTATCCAGTCTCCTCGTGTAGCTCTCGTACGCTGGCCTCGCTAGGTGTTTCCTTCTCGTCGACTAGACCGGCGGGCAGCTCGACGCAGACGGCATTGACGGGTGGGCGGTACTGCAGGATGATGATGGTGGAAGGGGGGCGCGAGGGGTGGCGAATGATTGTGGTGATGGCGACGGCGTCGACGCCTGCCTTGCCTCGAGTCTTGCGCGCCGCGGCTTCCCATACGCGATCTTTACCAGTTTGATCCTGCCATGAGATCTTCTGGAACTCGATCCACTTTGCCTCGCTGGCAGGAAGTGGCTGTAGAGGTACGCAGTCAGTACATATTTCACATTTATATCGTACGCTTTGAACTTGCCTCTACTTTGACGATCTTTGGATCTTGCGGCATGTTGTAGGCTGCGCAGAGTGGTGCACAGGTGTGGAAGGTGCGTGGAAGAAGGCTGTGCTGTGCAGTCGAAATGCGCAGTCGCGGTATGGCTCGGTAAATGAGTTTAGCAGAGGTCGGTGATTGTTTTGCAAGTAGAGAAATGGGGTGTCTGTGCATCGGTGGTGACTGTTGATGTCAAGCTGCCGGCGATTGTGGACGCTGACGTAGGAGATTCGGAGCTAACCCACCTGGGCAGCCCCGCGTCGCGCTATCACGAGGTCACGTGGGTGTGATGATTCGAGAACTCCCGAGATTTTCAAGTGCATGAGTGATCAGGCAGGTGCAGGGTAAGCAGCAGGTACATGCATCGAGCCATACAGCAAAAATTACATCCCTCATCAGATATAGAATTTATATATGCCGCTCTAAATCACTGCGCTGCCGCATGCCAAACCCTCTAGGCAGGCGTCTTCCTCACATCCGTCAACTTAACCATCAACGGACTCTTCTCCCAAGTATTATACGCCTTCAGCCCCTTGAACTCATCCTTCGGATCCCAAAGCGGCGCCCCATCCGCAAACTCAACATCAAAGTTCCACAAAAACGCACCCAGAATCAGCCTCAACTCGACATACGTCAGATTCCTGCCAATGCACCCTCTTGGTCCAGTCGAGAACGGTTGCGCCGCTTTCTTGGCGTCGCCAGCAAATTGTGCTTTAGACTCTGGTGTATCGAGGAAGCGTTCGGGGATGAAAGTGTCCGGTTGCGCAAAGTTGGCAGCTGAGTGTGATGCGCCCCAGGAACTGACGCAGACTGAGGTGTTCTCGGGTACGGGGTGGCGGTCGATTAGTGAACCGCCTTTGGGTACTGTGCGCAAGAGACCAACGGGTACTGGAGGGAAGATGCGAAGGCCCTCCTCGATGCAAGCGTTCATGTATGGTAGGCTGCCCAAGACGTCCATGTTGATGTCCTCTTCAGTCTTGACCGCGCTTCTCAACTCGTCTTTCAACTTCTTGAAGATGACCGGGTTTCTCAGAAGATAGTTCGTCAGTCCACAGAGCTCTGTTGCAGTAGTTTCACTGCCCGCCACGATGAACAAAGCTGCGTTCATGATCACCTCGTCGTCGCTGACCTCGTTCTTCTTCTCTCGTTGTTTCAGAATGTACCAGATGAAGTCGCGGTGATCGTTGTCTTTCTGGTTCAGTCTCTTGACTGTCTTCTCGGTCGAGTTTCTCAAATGGCGGAAACGGCGTTCACGGACAATAGTGGGTATGCACCACATGAGGAATTTCTGCGCGAGCGACCCGGGTTTAGCAAAGCGGCGAGTTGCTTGTTCGATTGCGCCGGATTTGATGGCTTCATAGATGAGAACGACCCAATTCGCAGATTCAGAGCCTTCGCCTGAGAATTTCTGTCAGTACGGGTCTGGAGTGCATCTCGCGACAACGCTTATTAGGGTGATGTGTACCTTCGCGTAGACATCCAAATGGCTCGCCAAAACTGAGATCGCCAATGATGTCGAAGGTGCAGAAGTTGAACCATGAAACCATGTTCGCCGCTTCACCCTTGTGCGCCTTTTCCCTCAGCCTGTCCACAAATAGGTTCACATATCCCTTCAAGATGTACTGCTGTTCAAGCAAAGCTTGCTTGCTGAACGCATGAGCTAGCGCTCTCCTCTGCCTTGCATGGTGGATATCAGGAGCCATGGTCAAATTTGTCGCGCCTGGAATCGCTTCTACAGCACCGACGTGGATAGGATCTTTGTCCATGTTCGCAAGCCCGACCCGATGTCCGTAGATATCGTCCCATGCTTTTGCTGTGTTGAAGGAGAGCTCATTGGGCATGACGCGCACTACGGGCCCGTATTTGTCGTGGTGGACCTTGTAGTCAAAGGCGATGCGGCCGCGTAACAGTGAGATTATCGAGGGAATGGGCGAGATGCGCCATAACAGCGGGCCAGGATATCTGGCAAGAGGATGAAGTGTGAGGTTGTAGATTGCCGTCAAGACTACGTATGCGACGAACTGGACTTGTCAGATCAATGTCAAGAGGAGAGCTGAAAGACGTACTGCAGCGGGTGCCCAGATCGCAATTAGACGGACGCGATCCTCGTCTACAAAACCCATGGTAAGGTTCGCTCTCTACTCAGTCGTTTTTCTAACAAAAAGTCGGAAAGAACAGAAAGCAACAACCAAGCTGACACAAATGAAGTAAGGCTGAACAAGGCAAGAACCGCACGACGATTGAGATATACCAAAGCCGACCGATCCCTGTGACCATGACGCTACATGCACTACAACGCGTAGTCATCCGTCGCTGCCATAGCGGCAGCAGCTCGCCAAAGCATATCCGACGCCATATATGCAGAGCTGTCAAGAAGACTTGCCAAAAGCGTCTGACAATTCTAGCCGACTAACCGCGAGGCACTAGAAACCAGATTGTTGTGTTCCACAGCATCTGTCATTCCACTGAGGCGTCTTTGCAGACGTTGCCGACATGCAAAAAGTGATCACGCCTTCTGTGAGAAGGGTAAACTTCCATGCTTGGGGTTGGATATGCTTTAGCGTGATGCAGCGTGGGCGCCCCGCCTGCCCGCATGTTGACCCCGCGCAGGTTTCCACAGTCGAGGCTAGCGAATGAGCGTATGGCCGATGCATGCGACTCGCGCATGGCAATGGCATGATCAGGCTTGAATCGTGAGCGTGGCACAGTAAGCAAGACGAATTGCATTGTATCGACGAAGACTGGTCCGGACGTGGTCGCCTATAGCGTGGTCACAGTGCCACACGCACTCGTTCTTCTGTTGTGCTCGGTCTGACAATCTTGACTGCTTCGTGGGTACCTAGGTATCAAGCTCGCATGTGAGATATCCGTGCAACCTGAGAGGTAGTCTGCGTCGTCACCACTTTCAGGGGAGATTGTGTGTCGTGAAGCTCGATGTGGTAGTTTTGACAACTAGTTGGCTATGAACGGGTGCGACACGCGCGGGTCATGTTTCTTGTGGTGCGACGGGCGGTGTTATGACCCCTAGGCCACTGGCAGCTTTGATAGCATCGAACCAGATGTTTCCCATGTGAAAGTATCCGGAATAGGACCTGATTCGATTAGCGAACGTGGTTCTACGCCACAAGTAACCGGAACACCCACGGATGTAGCCCGTCAACTAACTCCTCGGGCAGGACGACGCTGTGGTCAACAACCGCAACCTTGAAGCCCTGATCAAGCTTCTTCTTCGCAACCGCAGGCACGGCATCATTGAACCTCTTGATGTTTTCCTGTGCCTGCATATCGGCTCCCTGTATGATCTTCGCAACCAGCACCGCAGCGTCCGGGCACATGTCCAGCACGTCGTCTAACAGCGCTGCCAAACGCTTCGGCGCATCTGCCCACTTCTCTTCTGGGCTTTCAGGACGAGCCATATCGTTCGTGCCGATATGTAACAAGACGACATTCGGTCGCATCTGTAGTCCAGCTTTCATCAGGCTCTGAAGCTCGCTGATTGTGGCCCCTGGATGCCCTTCGTTGTCATTGTTGGGCATGAGCCCAGAGCGCTGCGTGCCGACAAAGTTCACCGACGCGTAGCGCGCACGTATAAGCGCGTGGATCAGCTGTGCGCGGTACCCATCTGTGCCGTTGTCTGCACCCGGCTGGCCACCCCAAGTTATCGAGTCGCCGAGCGGAAGTATGCGTAGTGGGAGGTTGAGGTTCGCGCCCGGTCGTTTGTGGGGGAAGCTTGACATCAGCAGCAGGATTACTATGGAGATGTTAGCACCATACAATGAAGACTCAGGTGTCAAACATGGGCAGCATCTTGGAGTGCCAATGCGACAACTGGAGTTGAGTCTAACGCGCCCGAAACCTTGGAACGCTGACGCGACGCACCTATGCAGAAAAAGGCCACTACGCCCAGGCCCTTCAGAACCAGCTTGTTCCGCGGACCTCCCGCAGATGGGAGCATCGGATGATATCGAGACTGTTCATCAGTCGCCTAGATGGTGCTGCTTCAATGGCATTGTGGGGGCGCAGCAAACAGGAGTCCAGCTGAGACCGACGGCTAGCGTCATAGCTCTAGCAATTGACCGACCTTGCGCTAATTATAAGCAGTGAGACTTTGGCTGAGAGTCGCGCATATCAAACAGGAATATATTGAAACTCCAAGTTGTGTTCGCCAATGGGGATGGCGCGGGGGCCCGGGCAGCCACGAGTGGAAGGGCCCACCTGCCGGACCCTTAAGATCCCCTAAACACTCACAGCACGCTCTTCCAAGGTTTCCTTCACGACATCAGGGTATCACTTTCGCTTTCCTCATGCGATCGAACGCAGTCGTCCACGTTTCCTTCGTTCCAATCTCCTCCGTGTATCCCACCTTGTGCGAAGCTTCCATGCTCATCTGGCGGTCGAAGTCGAACATCGTCATGATGAAGTACTAATACTGGTCAGCTACTGCACGCGTACACGACGCAACCAAATATCCGACATACCTGGAATCCGGGATGCGTGATATCGCTATCGACGCTTCCCTTCTTAAGATTGTGCTTCTTCTCTAGCTCTTCCCACTCCTTCTTGTGCGCGTCAATGTACGCGCCCGGCTGTGGTGAGCCCTCTTCAGGACCAGTGCCCTTCAGACCGAAGTAATCGCAAATTACCGGCCACTTGCCGCTCCAGCTATCCTCTTGACCACCCACATTGAAGCTCTGCGATGCGGTCTTCTCCGGGTTTAAAGAAGCGTGGATGGAAAAGTGCGCAACCATGTCTTGTGGGGATTCATTGTACTTGTTCACCCACGACTTCTCAGTACCAGGAAATGGGCACTTTGCGCCTTCGCCCTCAACAGATCGATATAGCGAGAGGTACAATGCCAGTGTTTGCGCAAGGCAATACGCGTTGTTGTTTGGTACGAAACCAATGATGTTGTCTGGCCGAACTTCGCACCAGCTCCAGTTCTTTCCTTTGGAGATGCGTTTCAAGCAGTCGATCTGGTTGTAGTAGAAAAGCTGGGAAAGGTATGGTTCCGGGATGGGTGGCAGTGTCTCCTTGAGTGGTAGGTCGTTTGCGAATGGGAACTTATCCAACATCTGGCAACCGTAGATCTTGGTTCCCGTCGGAAGCAGTACGTATGATAGCTTGGAGGACAGATGATCGATCGCAGTCACGGCGCGCTCCAACATCGCCTCATTGGTCTTGCACTCGGCCTCGGGTTCGTCGATCTGCTTATATGCTTCGTCATGTCAGACCCTGCGATTTCTCCTGAACGTTGTTACTTACAATAGAAGTACACTTGCGTCACGGTTTCAACATCTTTGACCTTTTCTTTGATCTGCTTCTCCAGCTCTTCTTGTGTACCTTTGACTAGATCGACACCAGACACGATTTGAAGTCTTGGGTCGTCAGGCCAGAGAGCCATCTCCCGTGTGAGTGGCCGATTAACCATAGCTGTGACTCGAGAGAAGGCATCTTTGGAAGGATATCCATTCAAGATGGCATTAACGATCGCCCATCCTGAGATTCCAGAAGCGCCATAAATCAGCGCGTGATTGCCCATGATCTATGTATAAGTTGTACGTCGATATAAGGGTTTCAGGTGTATGCGCAACGAAAGGCTCGCAAAAGCAATAACGCGACGCGTGAAGGCCAAACCTGGTATATGTATCTAGAACACTACCACATCAGAACCAGCCCGCATCATCTTAGTATACTATCATTGGATGAGCCAGCCATGCTGCTGCATGCAAGTACCTGCTGCTTGGAATAGCCTGGGCTCAAGATGCTGATGCGGAGAACAATATCCACCAGGTGCCTGACGAATTCTTTCCCCGCAGCGTCATCCGCCATGACTCGCCCTCTGACAGTCCTTCGGCTATAGTCCCGGCGACTCGCAATACTGGCCATGGGCGATGCAATGAATTCTCGCGTATGATGCGAAGGCATTCCAGATGGACGAGCGCTGTGACGGGCTTGAGGCATCGTGAGTTTCTGTGGCAGTGGGAAGGTGCTAATAAGGCTAGCGCGCCCCAGACACCTGGGCACTCGATCGGCCTTCTCGTACGGACTTCCTGTCACCACCACGATCTTGTCGCAATGCTTTAAGCACAGACGTGCCGCTTTGTTGCAAGTACTGGCCAGGTAGACAACAAACTATACGCCTACATAATCAGATCTGCCGTTACATCTGGCTTGCGAAGGATTTCCACACTGCGATCCGTCCGCCTTCGCGTTGACCTTTGGAAGCATCACGTTGCTAAGGACCCTAATGATCGTCTCTAACACACACTGCATTGGTGTTTCTGTATTCGCGTCTTGATCTCGTGATGTAAATCGGAAGTCTGTAACAGATTATGTGCGCGTCTTGTTCGACGTGTGCCATACATCTGTAGACTGTGATCTCTCATCGCTACGTCAATCTACGACATGTCGGATCACCTTCACCTTCACTTGACCGACCCGTCCTCTCGGCACCCAGCGCACGTCCAACCAGTGACCTGCGGTGTGTTGTCGCCGCCTTCACCTGCGTTTCCTCAGGCGGCAGCCAGCTTTACCTGTCTAGTGCTACCCAAGCACAATATAACACGATTCTCTTCCGCATCTGAATCTTCAGCCTCATACTCCTACGACTACGTTGCAAATCGAGCTATCTCACAGAGACCTGATACGACTTCACGATACCAATATGGCACGAATGAAACAAACCCGAGATGACGTCTCCGGCACCGCTCAAAGCCGGATTGCGACTACGCCAGTCGATCGCCTGCGAGTAACGGTACGCATTCCTACGAGAACAATGACCGCCGAGTGAGATGACTGACGTGACTCCATAGAAGCAACAGCTCCATACTTCCCATAGCGCACAGACAAAGTTGCACACCATGTTCGAGGATATGCTGCAAGAATATGAACAAACCAAGGAAAGCCTTGAGAGAACTAAGGACGCGCTGATCGCGGCCAACTATAAACTGGATGCGACCGAGACCGAGCTGGACACAACTAAGAGTCAGCTGGCTGAGGTAAAGAGCAACCATGACAAGTACTCGCGCTGGTGGCGTGAAGATTTCCGCGCATTGAATGCACAAAAGCGCACAAATGAGCAGCTGGTAATCGAACTGGCGATCGAGAAAGAGAAGGCCCAGAAAAACAACGACGCTCAGGAAAAGCTTGAGCAGCTCCAGAAACAATGGTCGTCACTCTCCCATATCCTCAGTAACGAAGACACCAGCCGCTAGATGCACAGCTTGTTGAATGTGGACGGGAACATTCATTGGCTTCGAGAATCAGATCTGACACGATATGAGAAATTGCGAAGGAGTTGGTGTTTTGGGGGTTAAATCTCTGCGTTGGCCCGAACGCTGGGGGTGGTTGCAGTATTCCAGTTTCGTGGTCATGATACTACACAAGAGATGCAGTATGCAATCAGGCCTATGGGTATGAGAATCCTGTACATCAAAGCTACGAATCCACCGAGACAGTACGATTGAAGAAAGGTATCCACTCTCTGTACCACACGCTTCATCCTAATGCAAATTACACCAATACCCCTTTGCCTCCTTAATCGGCACTCCAGTGATACTTCCCTCCTTCAACTTTCCCGCATCGCATGTATCCCACCTGCACTCCCGTTAGCCCAATCTACTTCACGATGTCTTCTATGCGACAAGACTTACTGCGAAAAGTTGCATCCGCACTTCTCATACACCGTTGCTGATAACGCTTTGCCCGTGATGCCATAACAAGCTTCACCATAGATGACTTGGGTCTTGCCGCTTTGTAGATAGATGGTGCCGCAGATGGGAGGCTGCGGTCTAGTAGGTGCCGCAGAGATCGAGGTTGTGAGGACTGAGAAAAACGTAACAGTAGCCAAGTACATATTGGAGAGGTTGCTTGCCGGATGGATTTCGCTTTTCCAGCTTCAAGACGGCTTAATAGGCAAGTAAATCTTCTTGATATGGAGAACTCGTTTGCATAGACGTAGTATATATGTGAAACAGATTAGGCGCCTACCATGCGGTGTGATATGTGATGCGTGGGGGCGGATGTGAGATCTTGCCTTTCAGTCATATGTGAGACTTATATTACCAGGTTGCGTATGTGAACGGGCGTTACTGGTGGCGCAGAACCTGTAGTTGGGGGAGGTTCCTGACCTGCGCTGTCTGCATATAAGCGCGTAACTCATCAGCCACAAGCACGAATGAGACCCCAGTTGAGACTAATGGTGATGGTTTATTTCTTTCTGTTCTTTGTACTCCTAACCAACCCAGTCGATCTCCTTCTCGTACTGCCAGAAAGTACCAGTCTTGTTCTGGATGTCGTGGATCGCAAGCATTACGGGGGTCTGGGCGCCTTCCTCTACAGTCCTCGTTCCGTTACCTAGATTTGAAGTATAGAGTCAGTACATCTCTCGCGTGTCGCGCATACAGGGAAACGCTTGCTTACCCTTCGTCATGTCCGTGTTGACATAGCCTGGGCAGCAGGTATTGATCAAGACCTTGCTTCCCTTTTCCTTCTCCTGCCTGGCCAGCGCTCTTGCACCTCCAATCAAGCCTGCCTTGCTCACGGCATATCCAGCACTAGGGAAGCCAGCGTCCTTCTCCTTGCCAGCCTCGACAGCAGCAACAAAGTCCTTCATGATGCTTGTGACATCTTCTTCGGTCTTGGAAGCGAGGAAGCGGTTGCGAACTTCTTCGGAGTATTTGTTGAGCTTGCCAGCCATGCTGCCGAGGTTCACGATACGACCGGTGGGCTTGAGGAGGGGGAGGAAGGTGTGGCACGCCTCGAGCGTCTTGTAGTAGTTGCAGTCGAGGGTTGTTTTGACCAGGTCGGCATCTGATTATGTTAGGGACGGCGGATTGTACATTGGAAGGAGATACTTACTGAAGCCGTCCAACGCGATACCAGCGTTGTTGATGACAAAGTCAATGCCGTCCCCATGCGCTTGCTTCAAGTGGTCCGCAAGAGTCTTGATGCTGCTACTGCTTGTGATGTCAAGCAGATGGAACTTGATCTCAGAGAGGCCACCGTCGGCCTTCAATGCCTTGGCCTGCTTCAATGCCGCATCTTGCTCCAAATCCTTAACGGCAGCTTCTCCTCTGCCCTGGTCGCGAGCCGTCAGATAAATCAGAAAGGGTCCGTTGTTGAGCGGCGACTTGGGGTATTGCAGGGCGAGCTGCTGCACGATGGCGCGTCCGATGCCCTGTCAATGTTAGTTTGGTACTCCCGAAGAGGCTGTGGTCGTGTGTAGGTACCTTGTTCGCGCCGGTGACGACTCCTACTCTGCTGTATGACATGATTGTTCGTGTGCTTCAATTGATCGATGTTTGGTGGAAGGAAGAGGGGATCGTGATATCTTAACGTGTCTTCCCCACATGTCCCATTAATCATCATCGAAAGAGCTTCGCTGTTCGGAGTTAACGAGGTCGATACGTCACTAATCATCGGTGGATCCAGATGTCCCGGCCACCTGCGGGCATCGTGCGGCACCAAAGACGCTATTCCGGATAGGGCTAACACTGCCGCGGCCACGCTCTCTCGATTTCGCTGTCTGCCTGCGGATGTTCACTACACCACACCTGCATGAACCAGCTCAGCATCCTTGATTACTGATTGAACCGAGCCTTGACAAACTTTCCATTAACTCCATAGTTTTCTACGGCGCGGTTGTCATACCTAGCAACTTGCATACACAGCCATCGGCCGTCATTCGTAACCTCTTAACACAGGCACGGTAGATGGATCGTCTGATAATTGCTGCATGTCCTTCCACTCGGCGTATCGCTCCCCGTCTGCAAGTACAAATCGTAGTAGCTCGCTTCAGCCGATTTGCATACGAGGAAGTTCAGCTCTAGACCGCATGTTAGCACCGCCGACAATGAGCCGAACATGCCTCCTTCCTGAGTACTTACGTCGTCCATAGCTACTGCTCTGCACAGTAATGATAGTATCGCCCTCCAATCCCCACGCCGTAGTCTCCCCAATGGCTCCCCATACCAACGGCTTGTAGCTTGTCGATGCGGTCGCAATGTTCAGATACTGGCTTGTCTTTTTCGATTGAATGGTGCCGCCGATGGTAAATTCGTCAGCCGCGGTTTCGGGTCCCAGCACAGGGATCGATGCTACACGTGTTACTAACAAGTTTCTGGAGAAGTAGTAAAGCCGAATGTCAAGAGAAGGAAATCAGCATACCATTCTTAGTGCTTGCTTGCAAGTATAGATGGTAAATTGGGTCTCGAACGCCACGTATTTTGCCTACAGTTGCTGCGGCGCTCTGCGCATTCTCAACCGGCGCAGCGAGTGCGCCCGATGCTACCAACAAGATTTGAGCGAAGAACGACAACATCGCGAAGAAGAACCTGAAGCCCAAATATGCAAGACTGCGACTCGATTCAGTCCCTGGGTCTTTTTATATGTGACCGCAACTTCGCATTACGTGACCCCAGTCTGCAATATAGCAGATTAATTACGGTCGCGTCACGCGTAGAGATGTTTACCACCGGATATAACGCATCTGCATCCCTGTCGTTCTACAGCTATCGAAAGGAACCACCGAGATAGGCA